TATATATAATCAAACCCTTCACCAATTCTGATCCTTCCAACAGATCAAACAAAGGATTGGGCCCCACGCCCGGTGACCCTCTCTGCCAGGTAGGTGCTTGGCTCTAGAGGTGAGAACCATTGGAACAGTTGAGCACGAAGGTCCCTTCTGACCGAGAGGGGTTTTGATCCCGGGAGCGGGGCATATGCAGTTTCTGGCTCAACCTTGGACTCACTCACATGGAGAAGTTGGTGATGAAGGCTCCCTTGGGAATCTGCACGTCAAACACGACGTTCTGGGGCTCGGGGGAGTTGTTCACCACTTTGCTCTGAATGACGGTGGTGGCCGAACGAGAGGTGATGGTGGACTGGACTTTATAGCTGTGAAGAGTTACTTGATCGACCTCGTCCTGAAAATGGCAAGAAAGCACAACTGTACGGACAGCGAAATCTCACAGACCTTCACTACGCCGTCGTGCGAACGGTCGCCCATGTCTCCTGTCACGTGCGCACAGTTCTGGGGCATCGGTAGGTTATAGCTCTGGGGTTATTAAGCATTCGCTTAACTTCTTGGACTTCGCCACAGGCAGAGGTCTGCCTTTGTTTCCAGACACCCTGAGATGCCTTTTTAGATTAAGAAGTCTATTAATTGTGTTTACTATCATCCTAGCACTCTGGAGGCAGAGGCGGGAGGATCACTCAAGGTCAGGAGTTCGAAACAGCCTGAGCAAGAGTGAGATCCCCCCCACCCCGTCTCTACTAAAAAAAGAAGAAATTATTGGCCAACTAAAATATATAGAAAAATTAGCCGGCATGGTGGTGCATGCCGTAGTCCAGCTACTCGGGAGGCTGAGCAGGAGGATCGCTTGAGCCCAGGAGTCTGAGGTTGCTATGAGCTAGGCTGACGCCACAGCACTCTAGCCAGGGCAACAGAGTGAGACTCTGTCTCAAAAAAAAAAAAAATAAATAAAAAATGGTGTTTAAAAACTTAGGCTATAAGTAGAAAGGGATGTGGGAGCCAGATTGGATTGAGGAAGTCCAGGAAATAGCTCTCAAGACAGGACCACAGCGGGGAGAGGATTCAGGGTGTCGGGGTTGGAAGGGGACCCCGGCTGTATCCCCAGAGTGAGGTGCAGCCGGGGCGCCGTGGGGTGCAAACACACATATGGCCCCCCAAACCCCCACAGCCCCCACTCTCTTCAATCTCATCTGTTACGATTTCACCGTCGGTCTTTTCCTCGTGCCCCCGATTAAAACAAGCTATGAGAACACGGATGGAAGTGTACAATGAGCATTTATCACAGAGTGTGATGCAATTTTTGGTCCAACTCCCTGGACCCTCTTTCCCCATCTCTGCTGATCTAAAGCAGCCCCCAGTGTAAAAGAATCACAGGACGTCAGTTTGATCAAAGGCAAGGCTCGAAAAACCCACATCTTTTAGCAGGTGGCTCAGAGCTTCTTCAGGTCTACGGCAATTCTGTGACCCATTAGACTTTGCTTTTTTCTCCAAAAGGATTTGCTTCTTTCAATGCTAGGTGTCATTAAACCCCCGAGATTAAACCTTCTGGTTAATTAACATGCAGCTCGCCTCAAGCCAAGAGAAAATCCAGGCTAATTTGCTTGTCTGTCCTTCCAGGTAAGTGTGCATTTCTGGCAGTTTCCATCTGTTCGGAGCAGGAAGCACAGCATAAACCGCTTCCGTGGGCTGTTTTCTTAACACGGGAGGGTCTACTTTGAACGTCTCAGGGAACCGGGGCATTTTATGTCTAGGAGCTCCTTGCCACAGCCTCTCTTTCATTCCCCAAGGCTGTCAGGGGCCCTATTTTAAACCAAAACGGTTAAGTTGGAATAAATAATGCATACGGAGGGGTGACACCTACGCTGCTGTGGATAAAACTGCAGGAAATACAGAGAGAGGACATCCCAGGTCTTGGTGGCCTCTCTCCTGTTTGAAAATACTGTACCCTTGTCAATGCTGAGTTTCAGAAACACCTCCAAACAGCATTGGGCAAGGGGGTGTTTTGCAAGCCAGGCAAACAGCAATGAAGACAAAAGGAGACAGCTGGATTGATTTCCGGGTAATAGTTAACAAGAAAATCATTCTGGCATCAATTTGTAACAGAATCAAAATCAAAGTCAACTTACCGCCCGTTCTCCCGATTCTCCGGAAAGGCTTCTCTGTGGAAGGAAGTTAGACAATCATTCTTCAGCCGGGTGTTACTTATGACCTCCAGGGCAAAAACCATTCTCCCAGTTGGAGACATTTCTTTTCTCTGCAATCCTGAGCTATCATTCACTCACTGGAGCTGAGATGTAGCTGTCAACTATTCTTGAAAACGATTTTCCCACCCGTGAGTTTCTCCGAACAAAGTTTCCCCACCATTTATGATCGCACCTACGTCACTCTTTGATATAATGCCAAAACCAGCATTTTTATTTTCATATATATATTTTTTTTTTTTTTGAGACAGTCTCACTTTGTTGCCCAGGCTAGAGTGAGTGCCGTGGCGTCAGCCTGGCTCACAGCAACCTCAATCTCCTGGCTCAGCGATCCTCCTGCCTCAGCTCCGAGTAGCTGGGACTACAGGCATGCGCCACCATGCCCGCTAATTTTTGTATATATATTTTTAGTTGGTCAATTAATTTCTTTCTATTTTTGGTAGAGACGGGTCTCACTCAGGCTGGTTTCGAACTCCTGACCTTGAGCGATCCGCCCGCCTCGGCCTCCCAAAGTGCTAGGATTACAGGCGTGAGCCACCGCGCCCAGCCATATATGTATTTTTTGAGACAGAGTCTCACTGTGCTGCCCAGGCTAGAGTGAGTGCCTGGCGTCAGCCTAGCTCACAGCAACCTCAATCTCCTGGGCTCAGCGATCCTCCTGCCTCAGCTCCCGAGTACTGGGACTACAGGCATGCGCCACCATGCCCAGCTGATTTTTTTCTATATATATTAGTTGGCCAATTAATTTCTTTCTATTTTTAGTAGAGACGGGGTCTCGCTCTTGCTCAGGCTGGTTTCGAACTACTGACCTCGAGCGATCCGCCCGCCTCAGCCTCCCAGAGTGCTAGGATTACAGGCGTGAGCCACAGCGCCCGGCCAAAACCAATATTTTTAAATAAAAACATTCAGCCACATGCGTACCGGGTAACCTATAGTCCGTTACTCTATTTGTCTGGTTTATGTTTTATTCGGTAGAGTGTTGACCTCGATGTTCCGTTCTACCCTGGGGCTCTGGACTTGCTGTTCCCACCGTGTGTGATGCCCCTCCTGCCAGGCCCTCTCTGCCCCCCTACTCCCACACAGAGCGAACTCCTACTCATGCTTCAGATCCCCACTCCTCTGGCCCCCACCCCCCAGACCAGGTCAGCTTCCTTCCCTAACTGTTTTCATTAGCAGTATATTTCCTCCTTCAGAGCTCTCACTTTGTTTTATATTAATACTTATCCATTCTATTATTTATATTAATAACTATCCATTCTATTTGAGGGATGGTTTGATTAAGCTCTGCCGCCCCCTTCAGACTAAGCCACGTAAGAGTGGTGACTTTGGTGTGTTTCCTCCTTGGTGCAGCCCTGGAGCCAAGTCTGGAAAGTTCTGTGCTCTTAAGCACCACACGAGGGGATTCTCCACCGAATGACTGTCCTGGGGGCATGGACGAAGGTCACCTTCTTGCCTGTGAAAATCGAATGGCTCAAGAGTGATGGGGGAACACCTAATGTCTACTGGATTGTAAAGTAATCAGGCAGGTGTCGGGTAGAAGCTCAGCTAGCCTGGTCTGGGGTGAACTGAGGTTCTAGTGCTGTGACACAGTGGCATCACTGGTTGCCTTTATTTAGACTTCTTTTTTTTTTTTTTTTTTTTGAGACAGAGTCTCCCTTTGTTGCCCGGGCTAGAGGTGAATGCCGTTGGCTCAGCCTAGCTCACAGCAACCTCAATCTCCTGGGCTCAAGCAATCCTGCTGCCTCAGCCTCCAAGTAGCTGGACTACAGGCATGCGCCACCATGCCCGGCTGATTTTTGTATATATTTGTAGTTGGCCAATGAATTTCTTTCCATTTATAGTAGAGACGGGGGTCTCGCTCTTGCTCAGGCTGGTTTCGAACTCCTGACCTCGAGCCATCCTCCCGCCTCGGCCTCCCAGAGTGCTAGGATGACAGGCGTGAGCCACCGCGCCCGGCCTATTTAGACTTCTTGAATGCAACGCTCAATGACTAATTTTTATTTCTTGTGGCTAAATAAAGACCGATGAGAGGTCTTGCCTATTAGGTTTTATTGTTCTACAAAAAAATAAAAATAAAAACTTAGACTTATAGAAGAAAGCAAAAAATTCATACCCGATACAAAATAAGTCACTGGTCAGCTCAGCGCTCCCTGCCTCCATATATAACTCCTTTCTCAGCATGTGTGGCCCCATTAATAAGGATTTTGGCCACCCAGGCGGCCACTGGTGGGTGGAGCCTCCGGTGTGGCTAGGTCTGAGCCACTCCCCAAGACACAGTGACGGGAGGAAGGAGAGTATGAGGCTGCAACGGGAAGTGTCTGTCACTACTGGAACAAGAAAAGTCATCCTGAGGCCGGGCGCACTGGCTTATGTCCGTGATCCTAGCACTCTGGGAGGCCGAGGCAGGAGGATCGCTTGAGCTCAAGAGTCCAAGACCAGCCTGAGCAAGAACAAGACCTCGTCTCTACTAAAAATAGAAAAATTAGCCAGGTGTCCGTGTGGCGCGTGCCTGCAGTCCAGCTACTCGGGAGGCTGAGGCAGGAGGATCTCTTGAGCCCAGGAGTTTGAGGCTGCAGTGAGCTATGACGATGCCACTGCACTCTAGCCTGGGCGACAGAGCAAGACCTCTTCTCGAAAAAAGAAAAAAAAAATAGAGAGAAGAAAGAAAAGAAAGGAAAGTCCTTATAAGGCATTACAATCATTCCATAATCTTAAATTTTGGAGAAAACACACCTTAAGGGGCTAAGGTGAGATGAGGTTTGGAGGCTGCCAGACAGCCACGTGGAGGTCTGACTGCACCTCACCTGGACAATGCTTCCACCCAGCTGCAAAACCACTGGGCTCTTCTCTGCTAAAAATCAAAGCTCTTGAGAAACTCTAGCAAAAGGCATCTTTCTCCTTCTCTTACCCCTTCAGCCACCATCTCTGTCCTCCGTGCCACCCTCTGGAAGGAAAGCAGAAACCTTACCTGCTGCCGCCGGTTCTCTGGGGCAAATTGAAATTCGCCTGGGGCCACTTCCACAAGGTCTTCATAGTCTACGAACTTACAAAAGAATCGAGGTGTTAATTTTTATTTTAAAAAATAGATCTAGAGCCAAAGAGGCAGCTGGTGGTATTTATCATATTATTTTATAATCTTTCCCCTCCTCCCTTATGAGCAATCTCATTTTTTAAAATACAATTATTTCTTCCCTGTATTTATGTTTGCTAGTTAGGTCTCAGAGGTGTCAAAGCGGAATTTAACATCCTCAAATTTGCTGGATGCGGGAAGTCAGTTTTTCAGTTTGCCGGGAGATGGTAGGAGAGACAGGTAGGGGTGGAAGGGCCCCGGTGATGAGGTAGGGGCCGGGGAAGTACCCGGGTGGGTAGGTAGGGCCGGGGAAGTACACGGGTGGGTCTGGAGGCATTAGCGTCATCTGATTGGACGGAGGACGTGTGAACCATACGTCTCCCCAAGTTGAAAATGTAGGTATGGAAGGAATAGCAGTTAGAAATGCCTGAAAAAGCACAAACACATTGGGAGGACTTGGCTTCCATCGGAGACTCCCAACACACTCTAGTGGTTTCCAAAGTGTTGGAAAATATGATCATTTCCAAGCAGATGAGTGACATGTCCCCCCCGCAAACATGCCATCAGATTCTTCGGCATTTTTTTTTTTTTTTGTAGATAATCCGCTCTGCAAGTCTCTGCCTTTGCTAAGATATTCCCCAAACACGCTTCGCTTTTCTGGCATAAAAATAGCTCTTGTCTGACTTTCAGAGTGACTCAGTCCAAGACGTTCCCTGCGCTGGTGGCTAAGGGTCCAACAAGGAGACCTTGAGCTCCATGGCAATGGATCCTGCCCTGTGCCCGATGACCACTTGTCATCCTCTCCTGGAACAGGAATCCTCAAAATGCCCCGAGTGCACATGTGGGAGTAAAACTCAATGGGAACCAAGCAGGTGGCAGGGGCAGGGGGAGCGGAGGGGATGGGTAAATTCACACCTAACAGGTACAATGCGCCCTGTCTGGGTGACGGGCACAATTGTAATTTTGAATCCACCTGTACAAAAGCAAATTATGTAACCAAAATGCTCGTACCTCCGTAACATTCTAAAAATTCTTTAAAAATGCCCTTTTTACAAAAGTCATTCTCACATAGGTGTAAAAAACAACGGTGCTTTGATAAAGACTTTGCTTACACTCCAAGTAGGAAGCGATGGTGGCATTTCTTCATCATCATATTAATAGCTAATAATTACTAAGCACTGGCTACTGCAGACAGGGTGCTACGTAGTTCATGTACGTCATTTAATTCTCATAGCAAACCTTTGGGTTAGGTCTATTATTACCCCGTTTTCTAGGTAAGGAACAAGCAGCGGTGGTCCATAAATGCCACGCTAGAATGCCCACCCGCTGAACTTGACTTCCCTCCCGTGCAAAACCTGTTCATGCTTTAAAACAGGCGTCCTCAAACTACAGCCCGAGGGCCACATGCGGGTGTTTCTGCCGGTTTTTTTTTTTTACTTCAAAATAAGATATGTGCAATGTGCATAGGAATTTGTTCATAGTTTTTTTTTTTTTTTTAAACTATAGTCCGACCCTCTGACGGTCCGAGAGACAGTGAACCGGCCCCCCTGCTTAAGAAGTTTGAGGACCCCTGCTTTAAAAGGTAAATCCACGTTCTGGAAGTTGTAACAGTAAACACCTGTCGTCAGACGACTTTTATCCTGAGTTTCCACCATACACAGAGTAAAGCCATCGAGCAGCAACCGAGCACCAGGTTGTCTGCTGAGCTATGCAGACGCCAACAGCAAGGGGTCTTCTGGAAGTACTTACTTCGGAGAGGCCGTTGGTGGGGATTTCAAAGCCCGGCGCTTCCGAAAGAAGCAGCCAGAGGAGGAAGCACGTGAGCCGTCTCATCCTGCAGGACGGTGCTGCCAAGCTCCCCGGAGCGCGTGGCCGGGGAGGAATCCACTCCTTCCTGCTAACCCGAGTTCAAAGGGACAACAGAGGGGTACAGTGCGCTGTAAGAAAGAAGAAGAAGAGGACCAAAAAAAAAAAAAACCTCTCTAACTTGTTTGGGATAGGAAAAAATGTTTCTGGAGCTCAAACTCGAGTCGGCGGTGCGTCAGCACGCCAGAGTATTCAAAACAGCAAGGCGAGCAGCTGCCAGGGAGACGGGCACGGCAGAGGATGGATTTTTTTTTTTTTTTTTTTGCTTTTGCTGATTTCTATTGATCTTAAAATCAGAGAGACCCAACAGTAATTTAGGTCATGCTTTTTTAAAGGATTCAAGGAGAGAACTAGCTAAGCAATAAAAGAAGAAAAGCTTAACAGTTGAATGTTCTGAAATAAATCCTGGCTGAAGAAGCAGGAATTAGAAAAAGTGGGAGAAGACACAGCGGGTTCTTTTTGGTTGTTTTTGAGAGAGCTACACTGTTGCCCGGGTCTATAGGCCGTGGCGTCAGCCTAGCTCACAGCAACCTCAAACTCCTGGCCAAGCATCCTCCTGCTTCACGCTCCCGAGTAGCTGGAACTACGGCATGGGCACCATGCCGCTAAATTTTCTATATATTTAGTTGGCAATTAATTCTTTCTATTTTAATAGAGACAGACTCGCTCTTGCTCAGAGCTGGTTCAAACTTCCTTACCTTGGGCAATCTCCTCCGCGCCGCCTTCCCGAGTGCTAGATTACAGCGTAGCCCCGCGCCTGGCCAAGTACTGGTTCGACAAAGAATTTCCTGAACTTTCTCCCTTTTCCTTAGTAACTGATACCAGTACAGCCCCCGGCGCCGCCGGCGGACAGCAGCCTCCCAGCGAGATCTCTTGGGACTGTGTTGGTTAGGGTCACTGCAAAAGTCAGCCCGGCTTGGGGTCAGCGCAAAGCAACTCCCCGTCTCCAGAAACCGGGGAGAAGCCGCACCTGGAATCTGTACATCATCCCTTCCCGCGTATGGTAAATATAATGATGTTAGCGAGGTTTACTGGCCTTCCGTGGTCAGACATATAGTTACTGCTTTATCTTTGACTCTTTTTTATCTATCTAAAAAAACCCATAGGAAAGTGTGGTTCTCATTTACAGGGAGAAATAAGCAGCTCCCACTAAGCCCAGGAGCACCCGCCCAATATAGTTGCCCTTCAAAATGAACCTGTGGGCAGGGGAGGGAGGGTATATACATATATAATGGAGTGAATATGGCACATCTGGGGATGGTCATGATGGGAATGACTGTGGGGAAGGGGGGAAATGCCATTATTAAACCTGAATCTATAACCCATAATATGCCGAAATAAAAAAATGAACCTGGGAGGGCAGCCTGCCTGCCCATCTCTGAAGAGCAGGACGAGCCCCAGATAACAAGGACACAAGACCCAGAGCAGCGTGGACATAGTGAAGACTGCCCTGAAGTCATTTTCACGAATCCTTCCGGGAATATGACACCCCCAGGGTACCGAAAGCGGCTCTTGTGTTGAAGGAGCTTATAAATTATTATGATTAGGTTATTTCAATTTCCAAAAAGAAGGAGATTTAGATTCTGTAAATTGTAGGTCGGGAAGCTTGAAGTTGACTTGAATTTGAAAAAAAAGAAAATTTACATGAAACTGTTTAAAAGGTGGTTGGAGAACTCTTTTGGAAAGGAAGCGGCAGGGCGAGGTGGCTCACGCCTGTCATCCTAGCACTCTGGGAGGCCAGAGCGGGAGGATCGCTTGAGCTCAGGAGTTCGAAACCAGCCTGAGCAAGAGCGAGATCCTGTCTCTACTATAAAAATAGAAAGAAATTAATTGGCCAACTGAAAATATATAGAGAAAATATTAGCCGGGCATGGAAGTGCATGCCTGTGGTCCCAGCTACTCGGGAGGCTGAAGCAGGAGGATCGCTTGAGGCCAGGAGTCTGAGGTTGCCGTGAGCTAGGCTGACGCCACAGCACTCTAGCTCTGGCAACAGAGTGAGACTCTGTCAAAGAAAAAAAAGGAGGCGATTTGACAGTTGTGTGTGGAAGGGATTTGACAGCCGAAGCTCACGAGATGTGGGGTGGGGGTAAGCGGGGAGCTCACCAGGCCAGGAGAATCGGCGAGGGGTCGGAGGGTGGGCAGACCAACGGAAGGACAGCCTGCGTCCTGACATCCAGGTGGGAGAGCAAAGGAGGCAGAGGGGCGCTGGAAACCAGGCTAAGCAGAGAGGGTCCTGCCAAGACCTTCTTCTTCTTCTTCTTCTTTTTTTTTTTTCTGAGACAGAGTCTTACTCTGTTTCCTGGGCTAGAGTGAGTGCCGTGGTATCAACGTAGCTCACAGCAACCTCAAACTCCTGGGCTCAAGTGATCCTCCTGCTTCAGCCTCCCGAGTAGCTGGGACTACAGGCATGGGCCACCATGCCCGGCTAAATTTTTTCTATATATATTAGTTGGCCAATTAATTTCTTTCTATTTATAATAGAGACAGGATCTCGCTCTTGCTCAGAGCTGGTTTCAAACTCCTGACCTTGGGCAATCCTCCCGCCTCGGCCTCCCAGAGTGCTAGGATTACAGGCGTGAGCCACCACGCCTGGCCCAGACTGGGTTTCTGAGCAAAGAATTTATCCTGAACGTTTCTCTCTTTTTCTCTCTAGTAACTGAGTACCAGCTACAGCCCCCGGGCGCACTGCCGGGCCGGACAGCAGGGGGCGCTCTCCAGCGAGATGCTCTTGGGACTGTGTTTGGTTAGGGTCACTGCAAAGTCAGCCGGGCTTGGGTCAGCGGCAAAGCAACTCTCCCCGTTCCCAGAAACCGGGGAGAGCCGCACCTGGAAGTCTGTTACATCAACCCTTCTCCTTCGTGGTCTAGATATTATAATGATGTTAGCTGAGATTTACTGGGCCCTTCCTGGGGTCAGACACGTATGTACTTGCTTTATCTTTGACTCTTTTTTTTAATCTATAAAAAAACCATAGGAAATGTGGACTCATTTACAGGGGAGGAAAATAAGCAGCTCACCCATGTGCCGTTCACCCACTCAGCCCAGGGCAGCCCGGCCCCAAATACTTTGCCCTTCAAAAATGAACCTGGTGGGCAGGTGGGAGGGGGGAGGGGGGTATATACATATATAATGAGTGAGATGTGCACCATCTGGGGGATGGTCATGATGGAGACTCAGACTTGTGGGGGCTCAAGCGATCTCGTTGCCTCAGCCTCCCAGTAGCTGGGGACTACAGGCAGTGCGCCACCATGCCCGGCTATTTTTTCTCTATATATTTTTAGTTGGTCAATTAATTTCTTTCTATTTTTAGTTGAGCCAGGGTCTTGCTCTCTTGCTCAGGCTGGTTTTGAACTCCTGATCTCTGATCTGATC